GCGAGTCCCCCACGCCCCCTTCCCGCCCGCGCGGGCCACGGCGCCCCGGCCGGCTTCTGCCTCCGCTCCTGGCCCCGCGCCCGCCTCGTCCGCGGAGCGGGGTCCTGCCAGCACCGCGGCTGCAGACGGCGCCGCTGCTGCTCTCCTGGCCCTTGGCGGCCTTTGTCAGCCTCGCATCGCAGCCCCACGCAGGCTAGTGGCCCAGCGTGCTCCTCCGCTGTCACTGCAGTCGGGAACGACTTTGTCATCTCTTCTGGCACCTTGTTTTTTGGCCTCCACTTCGGGTTGCAAGCTGAGCAACTCTTCCCCCCCCCAGTACATATAACATCTTTTTTGCCCTCTACTTTTGATTGCAAGCTGAACATCTCTCCCTCTTTCCCCCAGTATATATAATACCTTTTTTGGCCTCTACTTTTGATTGCAAGCTGAACATCTCTCCCTCTTTCCCCCAGTATATATAATACCTTTTTTGCCCTCTACTTTTGATTGCAAGCTGAACATCTCTCCCTCTTTCCCCCAGTATATATAATACCTTTTTTGGCCTCTACTTTTGATTGCAAGCTGAACATCTCTCCCTCCCCCCCCCAATGCAATACCTTTTTAATTGACTTTATCTCCATTAAGGAACTTTGGAAAATGACATGCGGTTCACTTTTCTATGAAAGGCAACGCCAGTTCAGTCCAATTTTATTTTGTGATTTTTTTTTTTTTATCTTTTTTTCAGGCCCCTGCAAGGCAGTCCTTGCTCGCAATGTATAGAACAAAAGTGAGCTTGAAAGATCGTCAGCAATTGTATAAACTGATTATTAGTCAGCTGCTGTATGATGGATACATAAACATTGCCAATGGCCTGATAAATGAGATAAAACCACAGTCAGTCTGTGCACCCTCTGAGCAGCTGCTGCACTTAATTAAACTAGGTAAGCTGTAAATTTTAATGTCAATAAATGAGGAATTTTGAAATTCAACTTTGCTTACAGTGTAGGTACACAGTAGTCTCAGTCTCTCATGCAAAAATCACTCTTAATGATGCTCTGTTGTTAGTGTCATGGATGGCGTTGATCCTGCTTTGATTTAGGGTTTAGATTGGATGATTTTCCAGTGTCCTTCTATCCCTACATTTCTCTGGTTCTGTTGTGGATAGAAAATATTAAATGTAGGGCTTTCAAAAGCAGTTTGGGCTTTTGCCACATACAAGAATGCTTATCCAGTACCCTGAATGTTTTGAAAGCCTTCAGGATCATAATACATGGGTTCGCTGGATGTACCAGATCAGAGCAAAGCATGTGGTAATAAAGGTCATAGAAACTGACATAACCAGTTCCATATGAACAACATAAGCTGTACTCAGCCCACATCTCCTTGCAGAGAGTGGACAAACCATGTGTCCTGTTGTGTTTTGAAGGCTGGAAATGTAAACTGCTTTAAGGATTTTGGAAGACCGTGGGATCCAAAGGTCCAAGGCCACAAAAGAGGCAGCCCTGCCACTCCCTCTCTAATGACATACCTGCACCTAGACTACAGCATGGCATCAAAACAGCTGAACTATTCACATCCTAAAAGCAGCTTAGCCATAGCAGCATGGAGTTCCACATTGGTTAATTTACTGCAAAATGGTTAACTGTAGAGGTGCGCCGTTACATCAGTCCGATATCGGATTAGTACTGATATAAAGAAAACTGGCTGTATTGGAAATCGGCTCAATGTGGCCAATAATTTGGCCGATAAGTGCTCATGTACGTGCATAGCCGCAGCGCAGCACTCAGGCAGCGAGGAGCAGAGCTACTCGCAGCTGGTAAGTCTGATGTGGTGGAAGGGGCTTTGGGGGGGCAGATCAATGTCCCCGTGTGTGTGTCCATCCGTCCGTCCCCAGCATGGTGAGGGAGGGGGCAGACGGGGCACGGGCCAGAGCCACAGCTCCTCATGGTGGGGGGGAGGAGGGGATGGTTCCTGCCACTGCTTGCACCCCAGGAGGGCATGTGCCCCCGGATCTGTGCAGGGCAGGTGAGCTGTAGCTGCAGGCTCTTCTCCATGTGAGCTGGGCTCGGGGGTGGCTACAGAGGAGGGTAGCGTCCCATGCTCTGCCCTGGCTGGGCAGCACTTGGCCCTGCCCCCTCTCTCACCATGGGGGGGTGTTGATATTCCCCTGCCCCTTTCCTCCCCTCTACCACAACGGACTTACCAGCTGTATCAGAAATTGGATTGATATCAGCTGATATGCCTCCTTAATTTTAGCTATTGGTATTGGCCCAAAAAGTCTCTATCAGCGCATCCCTAGTTAACGGATTGAACTTCATCTTGTATACCTTGTGCTATATGTCACAGGAAGTATGTCTTGAGGAAGGGCAGGTAGGTCCTAAGTCACTTAGCGTCTGCTGGAATAGGGGCATTGCATACCCTAATGTTGCTCATCAGATCAGCATTCAAATCTGCTATAGTACAGCCTGTTTGACTGGACAAGACACAATGTGACAGTGTACAGCATAAACTTAATGTTTGGCAGCAGGCATTAAGCAATATCTGCATTGGAGTATGCAGCATAACAGAAATTTTTTTTTATAGAGATTGTGCTGTAGTAGGATCTAGAAGTCTCAACAAGGCAGTGACCATATTTTAAAAATAGCTTTGATCTGAAAGACTTTACCATTTTAATAAGCTAAGCAAAAAGGTCAGAGGTGAAAAAAACTAGGAAAGAGAGAGTAACTGATGTATCCAGATTTCAAACCAAATCAGTAGCAGAACCAGAAATAATCCAAGTCTGAGTCTCAGTCTACTATCTTGACCACTGAACCATACAGTTCTAGTTGTATCCAATTAAAAAAGTGTTAGCTTGTTCAGCCAGAAACTATAAACATGCACATCATGGTTATGCTGTCCTTTTCAGTGCTGAGTTGACTCTTGCCTTGCCAGTGTAGATGCATCTTGCAGGCAAAGAATCTGAAAAATGTGTGTCATGCATGGAGAGGATTAGCCATTCTTATCAGTGGTACTGCGTTATTGTGGGTCAATCTTGGTTCTCTTCACTGAGCCCCAAACAAACAGTTTTATAAATGTCTCTTCTTCAGTCTTTTCAAACATCAACTTATATGCAAGCAATATTTTTGTTTGAAAAGGTGACTATAGATGTAATCTTGGCTTCTTCATTGCATTGTGAATACTAAAGATTTTTTTTTTTTTTTAGATTATGTTAAGAGGTGTGGTTTTTCTAGTATACATCCTGTTATAAGTAATGGGGATGTAGTTAAAAGTGGCAGAGATGTGCTTTACATTTTACCAGTGTTTTAAAACTACCCCAGTGGTCATAACAAACTATTTTATCTCAGATTTGCTGATGTAACTGCATCTGTATTAGGAGCTTCTGCTGCCTGTGTTGAATAGGGATCACATCTTTGCATACTTTTGTCCAGCATCACTTTGTTGGCAGAAGAGTCTGTATTTTGTCCTGGCTGTGGTCAAACCTTTTGCAAGGATACTTGATATGTTTAATTTCTCTTCTTTCAGGAATGGAGAATGATGACAGTGCAGTTCAGTATGCTATTGGGCGCTCAGATACAGTAGCTCCAGGCACAGGAATTGACTTGGAATTTGATGCAGATGTACAGACTATGTCTCCTGAGGCTTCTGAATATGAGACCTGTTATGTCACATCTCATAAAGGGCCATGTCGTGTAGCTACCTACAGCAGGGATGGTCAGTTAATAGCTACAGGATCTGCTGATGCATCAATAAAAATTCTTGATACAGAGAGAATGTTGGCAAAAAGTGCCATGCCCATTGAGGTAATGTATTATTTGAATCATAAGTGATCAATGAACATTTAAAATGGTACATCCTTATTAAACTGTTTCATTAGCCTGGGATGCCAGTACTGGGAATGGTATATTTTTGTTTGAATGGAATCTGTGAGAACTAGTTGTAGTACATGCTCTTAATGTTACCCTGATCAAAATTAATGCAATTCTGTGATTTTAATTGGAGATGGTGCAGTATCATAATTCAGGGACACATAGTGACAAACTGACCCTTTGAATTGTATTGGCTTTTACATTTGATCTTGAACAAGTTGTTTACTCTTTTATATGGATCTGCTTGCTTCTCTGAAAAAAAAAATTGTCACTTAAAAGAATGATTAGTGACTGCCTTATGACAAAAAAACCCCCCATGTGCTTAACTTTTTTTTTTGGCAAATCAGTCAATTTATCCTCTATAAAAGAAGTATTTTTTTAGTATACCTATAGCTTTAAATTAAATATTTGACAGCAATTTGTTTCATTGTCAGAAGCATGCCGTCTTCTAGGCATCTAACTCATTTCAGTGTTCTTCATAGGTCATGATGAACGAGACAGCTCAGCAGAACATGGAGAATCATCCTGTTATTCGAACTCTTTATGATCATGTGGATGAGGTTACCTGTCTGGCTTTTCATCCAACAGAACAAATCCTAGCCTCCGGTTCAAGGGACTACACTCTCAAATTGTTTGACTATTCAAAACCTTCTGCAAAAAGAGCTTTCAAATATATCCAGGTGAGATGTTATAGCCCGAAAACATAAATCAAAAAAGGAGCTTGAAATCTTTCAGACAAACGAACAAAATGCACAATAGCAGTTAATTTAATATGTCTGTACGTGTAACTTCCAGACAGGCTCCTGTGATAAGGTAAATTAGGTAAATAACGTGTGCTTTTGCCTGACCAACTTGATTGCCTTCTTTGAGATGACTGGCTCTGTGGATGTGGGGAGAGCAGTGGATGTGATATGCCTTGACTTTAGCAAGGCTTTTGATACAGTCTCCCACTACATTCTTGCAGGCAAGCTAAGGGAGTACTGGACTGTACTGGTAGGTAGAAAAAAATGGACTGTATCGTGAATAAAAAAACTGTCTGGATTGTTGGGCTCAGAGGATAGTAACAAATGGCTCAGTGTGTAGTTGTCAGCCAATATCAAGTGGAGTGCCCCAGGGGTCAGTCCTGGGGTTGGTTTTATTCAATATCTTTATCAACAATCTGGAAGATGGGATGGATCACACCCTCAGCAAGTTTGGTAGATGACACCAAGCTGGGGAGAGCAGTAAATATGCTGGAGGGTAGAGGTAGGATTTGGAGAGACATTGACAGATTGGAGGATTGGAACAAAAGAAATCTCATGAGGCTCATTAAGGACAACTGCAGTCCTTCACTTAGACCAATCCCATGCACTGGTACAGGCTGGGGACTGACTGGCTAGGCAGCTGCTCTGCAGAAAAGGCCCTGGGGGTTACATTGGACAATAAGCTGTATATGAGCCAACAGTGTGCTCTTGTGAAGAAAGCTAATGGTATATTGGGCAGCGTTAGCGGGAGTATTGCCAGCAGATTGAGGGAAGCGATTTTTTTCCCCTCTTATTTGACACTGGTAAGGCCACATCTGAAGTACTCTGTCCAGTTTTGCACACCCCGCCCCCCCCCTCCCTCTGGCCCCCCACTACAGAAAGGATGTGGGCAAATTGGAGAGAATCCAGCAGAGGACAGTGAAAATGGTGTGGGAGCTGGGGGCACATGACTTCTGAGGAGAGGCTGAGGGAACTGGGCCCATTTAGTTTGGAGAAAAGAAGACAGAAGGGATATTTTAGTAGGGCTATGCAAGCTTCAGTCCCTGATTCGATTCAGTGGCTGAATCTCCGAATCCAAATCGAATCAGAGGACCCTTTAATCTCTCTGAGTCGAATCGGAACCCTCCAAATTGATTCAAACATATTCAGCAATTCAGACATAGCAGCAGCTTTAAATGTTTTTTCTACATACCTCTAGGTAGCAGGCGGCTCGTGAACACTGTGATGCTGGGGTGCACAGACTGTCCCACAGGAGTGCAGAGGGCTCCCCAGTGCACTTGGCAGCAGACCTGGAAGCAGACCAGAAGCACTTCTGGTCCGCTTCCAGGTCTGCCCGGGAGCATGCAGGGGGGCTCCCCTGCACTCCCCCCAGCTCAGTGACAGGTGCCTCCTGGGCCTGGTACTTCTGGTCCACTTCTGGGCTCACCATCAAGCACGTGGATGGCCCCCGCACACTCCTGTGGGATGCTCCATCCACCCCAGCATCACAGAGTTTACAAGCTGCGCTGGTACCTTGAGGTATGTAGAAAAAACATATAAAGCTATGTCTGTCTGAATTGCTGATTCTGCAAATCGGCATTGACTCTTCAGATTCGGATTTGACCAAATCAAATCAGGGACAGCGATCCAAATCAACTAATCGAATCACTGTCCCCAATTTGGGCCAAATCCGAATCAAATAGGGTCCACTTCGCACACCCCTATTTAATAGCAGCCTTCACCTACCTAAGGAGGATGGAGCTGGACTGTTCTCAGTCATGGCAGGGGACAGAACATGGAGCAACTGTCTCAAGTTGCAGCAAGAGAAGTTTAGGTTAGATATTAGGAAGAACTTTCGCGCAAGACTTTGCTTGGGATGATAATAGTTGGGAATGGTCCTGCTTTGAGCAAGACTATGTAAGATCCCTTCTAACCCTCATTTTTTTACGATTATGGTCTGTGAAAATCTAATGCTTGCCTGCCTGATTTTAAAAAAAAATAGTCTATTTTCAGAATCCGTAATTATTAGTTCCTGAGTTTCTAGCACACATTTTCTGGAACAGTTAAAGTTTTATTGTTTGTTTGGCTGAGAGTAGAGATTTCCTGACTGCCCCTTCAAATAAGCTTTGAAATCTTCTTCCCCACACTGCCCATGCAAATAAGATTTGAAAATTGATGTAGGGTTGCAAGTAAAGTTCTGGTGTTACTGGCCGCTTGCAGATGTTAAGAAAAGCCAAAAAACATGATTTACCAGAAGAAGCAGCACGTTACTTTGACCTGGCTCTGTATGATAGATCAGATGTTTCAGCAAGGCTTTTTGGCATTTGTATCTAAAGCCGATTCAATCAGCTATTACATAAAAGCACCAAAAAAGCTCCGCTGAAGTGCCCAAACTACACAGATGATGGGCAAGCTGGTTCAACTAACATGAAGCCCCTTCTGGGCATGTGCTGGGCTTGGCATGGGAGCACGCTGAGTTTAAAGCACCACTTTTTATTTATTTATTTATTTTAACATCTGCAAGCAGCCTAAATGTCATTGTCTTATGGGGAGGGTGGGGAGGAAGAGATTGGTCTTCATTTTTTCTGGCCTAATTATTGAACACTGACAAATCTGAATTATGTTTTGCTATTAAAAATATGTGTTTAATTCTAAATTGACAATCTAACAGCACGTCTTTTCCCTGGAATTTTTAGTATTTATATTAATTACGTATTTCTGATCAAACAGGAAGCAGAAATGTTACGCTCAATCTCTTTTCATCCTTCTGGAGACTTCATACTTGTTGGTACCCAGCACCCTACTTTACGGCTGTATGATATCAATACATTTCAGTGTTTTGTGTCATGTAATCCTCAAGATCAGCATACTGATGCTATATGCTCAGTTAACTACAATGCAAGTGCTAATATGTATGTGACAGGCAGCAAGGATGGTTGCATCAAATTATGGGATGGCGTTTCAAATCGATGTATCACTACTTTTGAGAAAGCACATGATGGAGCTGAAGTATGTTCTGCAATTTTTTCAAAAAATTCAAAGTACATCCTGTCAAGTGGAAAAGACTCTGTAGCTAAACTATGGGAAATATCCACAGGTCGAACACTGGTCAAATATACAGGTATGTGACCTATCTAGCAAAAAAATTGCTTCCTTGGCCATCAACTCATGATGACAAGTAATTCTTGATGAAATGCAAAACTTGTTACTATGTAGTCAGGAGACTGGTAGGCTTAATTTCCTTAAAATCTTGTGATACCCACCTTTTATTTCATAGACATTATAGACATTAGGGCTGGAAGGGACCTCAGAAGATCTTTGAGTCCATCCCCTTGAAACAGTAATTGCTAAAGTTAGTGAGAAACATTCTGTGAAGTTGAAATACTAGTGTTCTCTGAAGTGTCTGCTATTTTTCCATCACTAGTAACGTAAGGCACAACACTAGAAAGAAATCGCTTACTTCTCTTTTAGAGCCCTGGTCAACATCCTTTACCTGGTGAAATTAGAGAACTTCCTATCAGACCTGTTTTATGGTACAAATGTCTTACTACTCTGCTTCCCATAGCAAGAAAAGCAGCATCAAATATCATTCTCTAGTTGGCTAGAACTTTGAAACATCCACAAGTAGATTTTGCTGCAGCTGTGTAATATTAAGGAGAAATATTAAGGCAGTCCAATCTGTTAACAAAGTGACACATTCAGTCTACAAAAAGACACCCCCTCAGGTAAATTAAGCGAATGTTTGTGTTGCAGTCTTATTCAAGGTAGAAATGTAGTGCTGTTCTTCAACCAGCAGGGTGCAGCAAAAGCCTAAGTAAAGAGCTACAAATGTTCAGAAAATGCTGCTGCTATTGTTGATTAAAGTAGTAATGATTGGAAATTTTCTACAAGAAAGCTAAACTTGTTTTGTCATTTGTGAGTAATAGCATATCTAGGGTGTTGTGAGGTTTCTTTGTTGTTTCTCCTCTTTCAGAATCTATTTATCAACGATGTGTTCTTAAAGGGTTTTTTCCACCAGTACTTCTGAGTACTAAATAGAAGTGCATTTGTTGTGAGCAATCTGCTTATGAACATTCTGGCTTGGCTGAGTGACATAATTAGTGACTAGTTTTTAAGCCCTTCCCTCTTATACAGACCCTTCCACAAAGTACATAAAGGAGTTTTCTTCTGTAGGATTACATTCCTGAAACTTTTTTTTCCAAGGTGTTTTCCAAAGAGGGAACTGTTTGGAATGTAGTGGTAATGGTTAGTACTGCTATTAGTAGCTAGGGTGGCTAGTATTCAAGATCATTTGCATCAAGCAGGAAGTTTGGTACCCTAATAGGCCTCTGTGCCTCCTGAGTAGAGACTGCCAGCTGTGCCTAATAATATATAAATGGCTTCACTTTGATTTCCAAATCCATATCTCTTTGTAAGTCAAGGGATTGGAATGATGATGTCCAGAAGCATAATTATGTAGCTACTGAGAAGAAATGTCCTCAGTATCATTTTGTACTACCTCCACTTCAGATTTGTCTGTAGTCTGCTGATCTCTGTTCAGTGCTAGTTTTAGTGATCCAGTTCTTTACTTGGACTTCACTATTGTGTTTGGGCATCAAAGTTCATTGGCTTTGGTTATGTAGTCAAGCAGCTCCCCTTCCTTCTTTATGTTGATTGTTTTATATTTAAAAGTCTACACAACTTAAATGTTTTTTGCCTTAGTAAAAGAATCATTCTTAAGACTGTGAGATGCATTGTTTCCCTTACTGAAAAAATGGTAAATGGTAGAACAGAAAGCTGATGGTGGGTGGAGAAATTCAACAGCCCAGTTTTTTAAGTCGTCCTCTAAATTAATGGTCCTTGTAGGTGAATCTTAGTAATTAATATTTGAAGAGATGTACTTTCTTAACCTCTGAAAACCTGCCCTCAAAGTGAAACTATTTAGGTTGATGTTTCAATTAAACCTTCAATGAACACTTTCACTGCTTTTACCAGGAGCCGGTTTGAGTGGACGACAGGTGCATAGAACACAAGCAGTTTTCAACCACACGGAAGACTATGTTTTACTTCCTGATGAAAGGACCATAAGTCTCTGCTGCTGGGACTCAAGAACTGCTGAACGGAGGAACCTTCTTTCATTGGGTCATAACAGCATTGTTCGCTGTATTGTTCATTCTCCTACCAATCCTGGTTTCATGACATGCAGTGATGACTACAGAGCTCGATTTTGGTATCGAAGATCAACCACAGATTAAAGACAATGTTTCATAAAACGGTGCTTATCCAGATTCGTTATACCATCTTGTACTGATTGTACTGCCAAAAGTTTGGAGCCGTGCTGGTTCTGTGCTTCACGTCTCACATGTGATGGAAAAAGATGAAAATGCTCAGGCTTAGTTTTCCCGTGCCTGCTGTTTTTTGTGGGATTTTTACAGAAGTGATGCCACACTAATTTTAAGTCATCTTTACCATTTTTCCTCAAATAAAATTAATTCTCCAAGGACACTTTTAAAACATTTTTTATGTCTAAATTTTGGGGGGTTGGGGGAACAGGTGCGAGTGAATCCTGTTCAGTCTGGGTAGAATGAGCCAGTTTTGCTCTGGATTGGGCTCGTGCAATCCTACAGAAATCCATCTTTTAGAATGGATTGCACTAGAATTCAGCAGAATTTGGCCAAATATTTTAATGAGGTCTGAAGCCATCTTTCAGTTCTGATTCATGCTTTGTACAGGCAGATGTCTGTTTTATATCTTTTTATTGTGAGTTTTTTTTTAAAAGGTCAAATGACCTTCCAGCTCTGAGCCAGAATCCTGTGCCATAAGAACTTGACTTTCACTTTTAAATCTTTTTAGTTGAATTCAACAAAATGTACTTTTTTTTTTTTTTTTTAGTTCTTATATTAAAGCTCAGACTTGAAATCTTTGTCTTTCATCTGAATTTCTTAATGGGGCCCTTAGACCACTGAAAGGTGTTTTATAGCTCTTTTACCCATAAACATTTTTATGTAAGTATGACCTGAGAAAGCAGTGTGACTGTCAAAGCAAATGAAGGTAAGAAAAACAATACTTATTTGCAGATATGCAGAATACCAACTTGACAAAGTAATCAAGGGTGGTGGGGAGTATTACTATGTGTATGTGTATATGCATATACATGAATGTATATAAAATGTAGGGTCACTCAAAAAGTATTTCTTTTAAATATAAGTTTCTAAATCCAGCAGCTAATAAGACCGTATGCCTGTATCCTAATTTGCAACATGTGCAAAAGATACTTGGTGTCATACAAGCTGTAATTTAGACTAGGCAGACTGAAGGAAGTCCTCCTAATGTCATTGCATCATCTACAGCTGAGGCTAAGCATCCCTCTACAGTGAAGTTCAAGGCCTGGTTTACAGTGGTTGTGGAATGGAGAGAATACTTAAGGATATGTGACATAAGAGTCTCCAGGCCAAGGAGACATGCTGAGAGCTGCTGTAAGAGATCTAGATAGCTGCTGAGGAGAGCAAGTTTGGAGTGAGAACTAGTAAGACAAATTAGCTGGTAAGTGCTTATCTTAAGGCTAGCTTCTTGACAGACCCTCAAATGGAATCTCTGGACTTAATTAAGGAGAAAAACCCACTTCTATTTGCAAAAGGAAGTAAACATTGGCATGCAGAAGGTGGAAAATTCTGTTTTTAAAGTGGTAATGGCATCTAGGAAATCAGAAGGATATTAAGAACTTGTGTACACTGCATCAGCAGCATCCCCCAGCTGAGCATGCCCTGCATATACCCACTCATGCTGGTACTCTCCCAATCTTAGAAATACATTGTTAAGACCCCCCAGAGGCATACTGCTGCAGCTATTTTCAAGAACTTGGTCTTTGAGCTTGGGAGAAGATGCTGGTGAGCCCTGGATCAGCTTCACCCACTGTAGTGGGGAGCAAGTGGGCAGGGCATGTTCAGGGGTGCACTCGCATGTAGAAGACATGTCCAAGTCACCTTCAGAATGAGGCTTTATGGTCTCAGTCCAAGGATCCATAATCCATATGTTGATAGTCAACACCACAGCTATGGGTTATGTCAACAGGCAAGAGAGATGGAGGTTGGATCTTGAAGAGGCTATATAGCATTTTGGAATTGATGTTTCAAAACCAAATTGGGCTGTTGGCTCTGCACATTTTTGGTCTTCAAAACAACATGGTAGATCAACTCAGCAGGTAGTTCTCCAATGCTCAGGAGTAATCTACAGCAACACAGAGTTATACAGAACTTTTTTTCTCACCAGTGGGGACTCCCAGAAATACACCTGTTTTGCCACAGACCAAAGCAATGGTATCAGACATTTTGCTTCAGAGGTGGTGCAAGCTCCAGCTTCCTTTTTTCACCCTTCAATGTCAGATTGCCTGTTCATCAAGCAACATGATACTGAGGCCCTGAGAACAAGATAGGAGGTAGAAGGGATTGATAACTGCTTCTTGTGGCTCTTTCATGTGACAGCATTTTGACAGACCTCTTGCACATCTCTATCTCTGCTCAACTAATACAGAACAGCAGGCTCCTTGCCATAATTTTGTTACCTTTAATTTTACTGGCTGGATGAGCTAAAACACTTGTATATATTTGCTAGGAGCTTTAGGCATGTAAGAATCCAAGTCTGCTACCCAGTGGAGCTTAAAGTCTAATGCAGCAAAGAATTTTGGGACAAATGCTTTATATTAAATCATGATAAAACTTGGTGCGTTTGGCTGACATCTCTCAAGTGCCATGCAAGCTCTTGTGGTACTAGATAAATTCTAGCAATGTTAGCTCTGTTACTCTTATATCAAAGCTTCTAAAATAGGAACCACAGGAACAAAGCAGAAGGGTGGTTTAGTGAGTGTGGTTACTTGCCCTCATTCGACAACAAACAGATTAAGGAAACAGCTAGTCCTGCAGGTTTTGTCCGTCTTAGAAGCTATAACGGTTTGAAGTTTTTTCTCCCTTTTTTGCCCCCTTTTTAATCTTATCTGTTGTCACAGGAACTGTCTTTCATTGGAACTTTTTGTATGACTTTCTAAATACCTCTGAAACAACAGTTGTCAGACACTTGAGAAATAGTTCCTGACACACTGTGACTCTGCAAAACTTGAAGAATCTATGACACTGTGGTAGTAAATAAATACTCCAAGTGATGGTGTTAGCTGCTGACAACTATGGATAAAAATACCGGAATCAACACAGCTGCAAAGGTAGGTCCATGTTGTTTGAGGACACAAAACAATGTTAGGGGCTGGAGTACGTGTGATTATTTTCTAAGCTCAAAATTACCCTTGTTATAAGGGTGTTTTTTGTATTTTTACCTACACGTTGTAGAAGATTTCTTTTTTAGGATACTTGGGTGTCTGAAGGGGGGCTGGATTTCTGCTGTTTGGAGAGACGGTTGTCCCTGGGTGAAAGGGGTCTGAAAAAATTTCCACTTGGACAGAATTGTAAATAAAAGGAAACCTGAAGATTCTTTTAAGTAGTAATGACACGGACGAAAATGAACTAACCCATACTTTTACCTTCAAGGTATCATCTATCTCTTTACCAGTTCTTAATAATACTTGATACATGATTAATGCCCCAGTGAACTTTAATGGCTATTAACTAAATTGTCTGCATGATGTGTAAAGTAGACAAGTCATTTCCCTTTTTTATAAGCAAGCTTCAACAAATAAAAAGGTTAAAATGCTATATATTAATGAATGAAATATATAAGTATTTTAGGGTAGAAAACCTGCTTGTGTGTATTGGATGGCTTACTGCATACAGTTGTAGATCAAGCAGCTAGGGTATTTATCTTTACTCAGTCGTTGATCTTGATGGTTAATATCAATAAATATGGAGTCTATTTTGCCAACTGGGCATTTGCATTCCCTTTTTCTTCCTTAAACCTCCCAAGGGAAGATATGTGGACCATTTGTTTTCCTGCCAAAGGCTGTAGAAATAAGACGATAATGGGTTCCTGTTGTGTTCCTTCTCCATAGCTCTGTGAATCTTAAAATATTTTGCCAAGTGGCTCTGCTTCAGCTGGAGAAGTCCAACAACCCTCCTCTCTCCCTTCCTATATTAGGTGTGTTCAGAGCACCACCACACATTGGCTTCTTTGTAGGATGCAGGTAGGTCCCTGATCAGCAGGGATCCTGGTTTTCTCTGGTTTATTTAACCAAAAAATTGGGGATTTTTTTAAAGTAACCCCAAATCCACATTTTTCCATGATTAAAAAGAAACACCGCTATATATATCTATATATTAGTGGTGTTTCATTTAAATTATGGAAAATGTGGATTTGGGGTTACTTTTTTTTTTAAACTGAAAATTGGGGATTATTTTTAAATTGGAGAAAACCAGGATCCCTGCTGACCTGCTTAGGTACTTAGCCCCACTAACATGACAGCAGTTCTGAGCATGCACAGAAGCAGGACTTCAGGTGACCGGAGAACTTTCTCAGCAGAAATTTAGGGTGTCTCTCCATACGTTCAGCATTAACCATACTTGGCAGAGGCCCCTCGCAACGTGGTGGGCTGCCTCTTAAATTGGAAGCAATGCCCACCTTGTGCCACAGACTGGCTATAACGTGGAGCCTGATCAGTACTGTAGCAAGGAGCGGGTGAGTGGAGCAACTGTCCCAGGCGCTGAAACAAAGGGGAACGAACAGGTGCTGTCCAGCTGGAGTGGAGCATAGGATGGAGCCGCAAGAAGCTCATTTTGGGGGAGGGGAGGAATGGGAAGGGCAGCTCCCGCTGCTGCACGCACTCCCAGACAAGCATGGCGGGGGGGAAGGTGCCCCCTCAGATCTGTGCATGGGGCAAGGGCAGGCTGCCACTGCAGGCTTGCCCCAGGTGCCAAACTTCCTTGCTACGGTACTGAGCCTGATTAGCTGGCATCGTCACTCAGTGGTGTTAATTAGCCCAGCTGGAGCACAAGATGGCTGCAGCTACCTTGTTCTAGTTGGGAGGCAGGGCACACAAGTGCTGCAAGCTCACTTCGTACAACTAGTCTTGGATGACTAAAGGATCAGATGAGATTCTGTGGATCATGAGATTAGATTTCAGCAGAGTGTAGGTTCTGCTTTGGGTACCAAAATACCCCTGTGGACCTGGGCCTGAATGCTTCAACCTGGATGTCTACAGTCTTGTCCTGCAACTAAACGGGAGGACAGTATGCTCACAGGGACTGGCTGCTGTGCACTGTGCAAAGACTTCAAGCTACGTGTGCATTCCTTTGAGCTCGAGTTGGCTGTGTTTAGTCTACCATCAGGAGCAACTTAGAGCAGCCTATTTTTATACCAGCTACCCAGGGCTTGCAGAAGCTAGTGCAGCAGCTGGGAGCAGACACAGGACAGGGAATCCCCACCGCTTGCTTCTCTCTCAGCCACAGCTTGGCAATGTTAACAGAAAGCTCTGGAGTAGTGTCGTAGTTCTTCTGGCTTTGAGCCACTGGAGGTTTCACTCTGGGGTCATCCCTTTAGACTAGTCATGCCATGGGTGCCACTCCAGGGCAATGTTTTATCTGCAGGTTGCATCATTGTAACTCTC